CTGCGGGGGCCCCCCCCAGCAGCCCAGGGACACCTGGAGCAGCTTTTCTCGCCCCGGAGGACGCGGTGGTGGGACCACTGCGCGTCTGGGTGGTCCTGCCGCCCGCGAGTTCCGGGGCAAGAAAAGCCCCGTTCGTAAGTGCGGATCCGATGTAAGTCGGATCCGCGTAACTCGGGGACTGCCTGTATAGCACAGTGGGTGTTTTTGCTACAGGAATTTTGTTCCTGGGTTTGACCTCAGATATAGCACTGTAATTACTTTTGTAAGTAACTTCTTCACCCTAACTACCAGAGCCTTGTAGTCACTGCTGATCTGTTCAGGTCATAAATGGCAGTATCATTAGTGCCTGTGTGGATCATCAGCATTGAGTAATGATCAGAAGGACAGAAGAGCATCGGAAATCTTTGTTTTGGGTGCTATGTCTAGACAGACAACACACTTCCTGGGACATTGTCAGGTTGGCATTTGGTTTCTGCCCCACAGAAGGGAGTTTCTGACAGCCAGTGTTCTAAGCTGCTTCCTCTTGGCCCTGGTGTCTGTGAGCCTTCCAGTCTGGGGTAAAGGGGACATTCCCTCCTCTCCTCCCCTCTCCCCTCCCAGGCTGGAAGATCATTTGGGTCTGGTCCTCACCACCTGTTGTTAGTAGTGCATACCGGTTCTTTACAAAGATGAATGGAGGATCTGGTTAGGGGTGGAGCACTGTCTACTACCTGAGGTGGCCAGCAGCCAATCTCTTTCCTATGGAGTAGCTTGTTCTTCTCCTTCTGGTGTCACTAGATTCAGCTGAGATCCTCTGTTGCAGATATTTCCACTTGTATCCTTTCAGTGAAGTCCTCCTACTCCCAGATGGTAAACAGACCAATCACCCCTCCTTCAGCTCTCTTGCTTCTTCTTGGGGGTGGCGGGTTCCGTCAAGAGACACCTGTCACACTGGATGATTCCTGAGCCTGGGTTTCATTAGCACACACATGGAAGCCATGTACCTAGTGAGTCACGGCTAGTGAGTGCTTGGATTGAAGACTTCACGATCGGGATGCCTGTCTGCCAGGGGTATCACAAGGGCAGGCAGAAGAACTAGCAGTGGTATTGACAACACAGCAACACACAATTTTTTCCTTCTATTGCAAGTGCTTCCTTGTAAGGCAGATGATTGTCTGGGTTCTGTGCTTTGCTGCCTGGAGTTGGCCACAGGGGTCATGCCCTTCCTTGCATTCACCCGTGGTGGTGGGAAGCCACCTAGTCCCAGCCTGCTCCTTTTCACTGGCTCCCAGCGTCATTCAGGAGAGGGGTCTTGGAGGAAAGGATGGAGCAAGGACAGAAAGAGATAGGATGTGAGTGGGACCAGGAACCCGTGAGAGTGTGTGTCCTGGGCCCCACTCACCCCTAGGGATGGCCCTGCTTGTAGGTTGTGTACAACATAAGAAAGGGAAAGGGGGAAAAATGGAAGTAAGTCCAGACAGGTTTGAGAGAATTTGACAAGCAACATTTGGTATTAGATGGCTAGGTCAAATTAGTTTAGTTTAATTTAGAAATAAGTGAATTGTTTTAAATTTGTGCATTTAATTATTTAGGCTTAATTCAAACAGACAGTTTTTTTAATGCCAAAATAAGTCCAGTACACACAGTTAGTGCTATAATAAAAAGGTGGGAATTAAAATTGGTGTCTAGTATTTTGGTGCAAATGTACATGTAGACCAGACCTAAATCACTAAAACTATGCTGAATTAAAACAGATTAGGAATGGTCCCTTAGGCTCTCTGCCTGTAATCTTACATGATTAAAGGTCTGCAGGACTGGGCCCTTCAATTGTAAGTTTTATGGAGTTTGTCTCTTCTCATCTGTAAAGTAGCTTGCATACTCCTGGTGCATATATTAAATCACAGTTGAGGCAAGTGATCAATGAAAAACAAATTAACTAGATTTAAAAATAGTTATAATTAATTGCAATTTTAATCACACTGTTAATAGAATACTAATTTAAATAATAAATATTTGTGAATGTTCTTCTGCATTTTCAAATATATTGATTTCAATTACAACACAGAATACAAAGTGTTCAGTGCTCACTTTGTTTTTATTGTAAGATTTAGGGATGTTAGAAATAGTTTATTTTGGTTATCGTGTAACCACAACAATTCTTAGCAGTTACCCAGTTACTAAAAATACTCCCCTCGGGAGCGGGGGTGGCATCCAGTGCGCTCTCAGCCCCACTCCTGGGGAGCCTGGAGTCTATATGAGAAGTAACAGTGGGGGGTGGCAGGCGGGAGTTAGTTTAAAAAGTATCTCCCTGTGCAGACCAGCTTCCTCTTGCTGCTCCACACTGCTGCCTCTGATCCCTCAGAGCAGCCTCTGTCTATGGCAAACCTGGGCCCACTGCGGACAGATTCTGCACTGCATCAGCTACCCCTGTCCATGGGGGACCCAAGCTCCCCATGGACAGAGGCTGCTCTATGAGATTCTGGAGCAGCCTTTGTCCATAGGAAGCTTGACCCTCCCCCCCCCACGGACTGGGACTGCTGCTGCCTGCATTGCTGCCTCTGTTAGAGAAGCAGCAGTGCAGCGTGGCAGGCAGCTCTTCTGCATGCTCTTGATTTAAAACTCGTACTGGTGGGCTGGGATTGATCCAGCCTGGCAGTCCAAGTTTTAAATGCAGAACACACAGTGGGGGAAGAGATCTGCGGTTAACCAGGTCTGTTGATAGATAAGCAGTTGCTTACCAGTTAAATAGTTAGCCGCTAACATCCCCTGCTAACATCTCTAGTAAATAGTTGCACTGTAAAAATAATACAAGAAATAGTTTTTTCAGTTCACCTCATACAAATATTGTAGTGCAATCTTTTTATCATAAAAGTACAACTTACAGATGTAGATTTTGAGTGCAGCTGTGTAAAAATAATGTGTAAGACTTCAGAGCCTACAAATTGAAACATAAAAAGGCATATGCATGTTTAACATATGGTATGTAAATACCCTACATCAGTATCATGAGAACACACATTCCCATTTTCAGGTGATATTGTAAATAAGAACCGGACAGCATTATCTTACATAAATATAAATAAACTTGTTAGTCTTCGTGATTAGCTGAACAAGAAATAGGACTGAGTGGACTTGTAGGACATGTTGTAGTTTTACATTGTTTTGTTTTTGAGTAGACTTTTATGTAAAAAAATTTACATTTGCAAATTGCACTTTCACAATAGAGATTGCACTACAGTACTTGTATAAGGTAAATTGAAAAATACTAGTTTTGTGCAAATATTTGTAATCACAAATATTGTATTCAGAGCCATAATGGAAATAAATATATTTGAAGGTTTAGAAAATCATCCAAAATATTTATAATTTAAATTGATATTTGGTTATTATTTAACAGTGCTGTTACTGTGATTAATCATGGCTTTTTTAATTTCACAATTAATTGCAATTATTATTTTAATAGTTTGACAGTAATAAATAATAGTACATTTTTGTTTTTTTTTGTTTTTTTGTTTTTTTGTTTTTTTGTAGGTTGGTGCTTGCATTGTGAATTCAGAAAACAAGATTGTTGGAATTGGATATAATGGGATGCCTAATGGTTGCAGTGATGATTTGCTGCCCTGGACTAGAACAGCACAGAGTAAGCTAGACACAAAATATCCTTATGGTAAGGAACACTTTATAGGTAAGGTTTCCTATGTGTTGCAAATTAGACTCATAATTTAAATATGAGTCCAAATGCTGTCCCAGCATGGTAAATATTGATTCATTTACCCTCAACTTGGCTGATTTAACAGGCATGCAGGTGGTATATCACCATGAAATCACAGCTCTAGAAATAGTGTTTATTGGCTCTCTATTTCTGTAGAGTCTCTGGGACAAACAGCATCATCTTTGATTTTACAATTTCCTACTAATGATAAAGGGTTGTTAAATAAATATTTAAGATTTTTAACTATTTTTCCCCATGTTATTTTACAGACTCAGAATTAGTAAACAGGTTAACTAAACTTTTGTTATAGCACAGGGGTCTCAAACTCATGACCTATGGGCTATCCCTGGCCAAAGCAATTGTGTAGTCCTGCCGGGAATACTGAGGAAAGAGGAGAAGCCGTTGGTTTCTGCCCCCAACCTCATCCTTTCCTGCCTGAACCCAATTCCCTGAGGGACACAGCCTTGGAGATTACCTGGGGGGGATCTGGCGTGGGGCAGTAGCAGTGGTCAGCCCCACCCTGCACTCTCTGCAGTGGGGACCTACTGTTTGCAGCTGCAAGAGAGAATGGGGATCTGGTAATGGCAGCACAAGAAGGGACAGGGGAAAGAAATGTGGAAGTGCCAGACTCTTTGGGAGATGTTTCTACAGGTCTGGGAGCTCCTCAGGCTCTCAGATTCTACAGATCCATAAGAGGATAGTAGTGGAGATAGATCTATCTCCTTCAGAGACGTCAAGGGAAAACCATGCAAGGCAATAATTTTATGAAAATTTAAGGACAGTCTCATTCTACTGATCTGCTGGAATTTAGTTAAGTGTATTCTAAAAACACGTATATCATGGCAGAAAAGTTGTGCCGTGTTCACATAGGGAACATATAAGGATCACATAGTTCATAAACGTATATATTTTCCAATTAACCATGTTAGTAAGAAAACAGGCTCTTTACTTTTTAATTCTATTTTATGATAAGACAACATTTTATAACATATTATGTTTCATATATAATACAGTACCATATCTGGTGCATAATATTTCAGAACATTTTAGTGTCTGTTTCAAATAGTAATTTTTAATGCATGGTAATATAAAGTTAAACTTTGCTCCAGATTTCCTTTCTGATTGCTACTTATGATATATGGCAATCTGTTATCAAACCTCTTGATCAGGCAAGTAAACATAATACTATTAATGGTCATATGGTTCTTATTATTAATGTTGTATGGATCAAACTCTTTTTATTAGGTGGGAGGAGTAGTTTTGACTTTACAATCCACTGAAGACATCTTCATGGCAGGATAGAGGATATGCAGAAAGCAACAGGAGTAGTGTGAAGGATGGCCTCTTTTGTTGGATGTATGAAAGATTTTGGGTTAGATCACAACACAAGATCAAACATTCAGGATGATAATGTGGTTCAAGGTGAAAGGAAACAGAAATGTGAAAAATAGTAGGCAAAAAGATATTAGTAAGAAATATATTCTTGCTGAAGAATAGGGAAGTTAGTCCCTCTGTCCACTTTTTTTTATTAAAACATTCACAAATAGTCAATACTGTATATAAGGTTCCACTGTTGGCTTCTGTTCTGAAAAAGTGGCTTGGAAAATGTTCCCCAAACACTTCGTTAGTAGTAGAAATAACCAGGTAATGAGAATTTAGAATACGTTCTGAACCTGCTGTCGGAGGGAAGAGGAAAGTATTTACCCACAGGATATTGTAAAATTGATAATTCTGATGTTCTCCATTTTGGACTTTTACATCGTATTGAATGCCTATGCAGAATTCATAGGAATAGAAAAGTTACTCTCTTAACGTTTCTGTGTAGACGTTATTTCAGAATAACTGATATTATTCTGAAATAGGCTAAGTACAAGTCTACACTACAAGCAGTTATTTCAACGTAATGTCAAAATAATGTCAAGCTGGAGGATTTCTTACTCTGACTCCTGTAACCCTCATTGTATGAGGAGTAAGTGAAGTTGGAGGAAGAGTGCTCTATCTCGGACTTCCTGCTGCGTAGACAGTGCCAAAAGGTGAAATAAGCTGTTTCGATTTAAGCTATGCAATTGACCTAGCTCAAGTTATGTAGCTTATTTCGGCTTTAGCTCTGCTGTTTAGATGTGCCCTTACTGCTAGAAACTGGGATTTATAATCCAGTGCATAGTGTTAATAAGATGGAAGTTCCCAGGCTGCTGGTATCAAAATGTTAAACTAGGGAGAGCTACTTAGTTATTAGCATAGGATAATCAGAACTCCTAGGTTAAAATTTCTGGTTCTTCCACTGATGTGTCACATGAAATTTAACCAGTCATATAGGTATATTAAGACACAGGCTAACTGTATAAATGCCATTTGAATTCATTCAAATCAAAAGCAAACTCTTTTCTCTTTCAGTTGCTTAAGACTTTCTCTAACACATTGTTCTTGGAATGAAAGCTGTCTTGCGTGAGCCTCACCTAACTTAATATTTTTACTTTGATAGTTTTTGCAAAATCAATTAAATCTTTTTAGTCTTTCTGTCTGTAAAAACTGTTGACAGTATCATGAGCATCTCTTGCTGCTGGGTAACAATAATCAGTGCCATGACCTTCACAGAAGGATTGCAGAATCTCTTCAAATCCTATCTGAGGCTATTCAAGATCCCAAACAAGCTCCTGGACATTCCGTAGGCTGCGGTTTTCATATAAGTGGCATTTCCAAGTTAATGAAGCCATAATGAAGCCTATTAAAGCAATCTGGCATGCATCTGCCACTTACACCCTATCTTCTAAAGAGGGCTGAGAATCATAGAATACTAGAATTGGAAGGGACCTTGAGAGATCATCAATTCCAGTCTTCTGGCCTCATGACAAGACCAAGCACCATCTAGATCAGTGGTCCCCAAGGACGTGCCCATGGGCACCATGGCGCCCTCTGGGGCATTTATGTGCGCCCGCCGAATGATCTGGGGCGGCTTTGCCCCGGGCACATGGTACATGGGCGGCCCCTGTTCCAGGCGCGCAGCACATGCGTAGTGTCGGCCCCGGGCGCATGGTGCATGGGCGGCCTCTGCCCCGGTGCTGGCCCCAGGTGCGTGGCGCATGGGCGGCCGTTACCCTGGGTGCGCGGCATGTGCGTGGCACCGCCCCCAGCACGCAGCGTGTGTGCAGCCAGGCCCCCGGGTGCCCGGCAGCCCCAAAAGGTTGGGGACCACTGGTCTAGATCATCCCTGATAGTGTGTGTGTGTGTGGGTTTTTTTTTTTTTTTTTTTTAAATCTAAGGTGCTCTTAAATATCTCCAATCTTGGGGATTACTGGGGAGTAGGGGGAGGCATGGCATGGGGTGGCAGCAACGATTGGCCCCCTTCCTGCACTACCCATGCTGGCAGGTGCAGCAGGGAAATGCTGTGCACTTGGTGCACGTACTCTGCTTCCTGTGGCTCCTGCTGCTGTGGGGAATGTGGAGGCTCCCAACCACTACTGCTGCTTTGTACCAGGCCTCCCTGGTACTTCTTGGGGCCATGCCCTTTGAGGAACAGCGTGCATTGGAGGGGGGGTGAGCGCTGGGTGGCAGGAAGGAGTAGGGCATGGTGGACAGGTACTGACATGCCCCTCCCCGTCTAGATTGCAAAAATGGTCCCACCAGAGATGGCCCATGGACTGTGAGCTTGAGTCCCCTGATGTACACAGGTGCTGCATTGTCCTAATCACACCAACATATAAACCCTATGGCATTTATGGAGACTATTATATCAATTTAGGGTGACACGTCCGTAGGACAAGGCTGTAGTGTGTACACTGACCTGATTAGCTAGACTTACGCTGTCTTATGTCAACCTAATTATGTAGTGTAGACCAAGCCTAAGACTCTTGTCATGGCACAAATACATGCCTCATTGTTGCAGCTGTCCACTCCCCAGTGTAATTTTAACTTAAGTACTGGACAGTAACAGGCTACAGAACCCATCGCTGTCTCAATCTGGTAACATTCTAAATAAAAGGATCCTGTAACTCTGCTTATAGCTGTTTCCATGACTTTATGCTGACTCTACACACATAATAGACTTAAGGGCCACGGTGACATTTCTGGAATTCTATCTGTGTTGTAAGTTGGACTCAGTCCTTTTCCTAGTCATCAGGTATTTGAATCTCAAAGTCCATCATTATTACTGATTTTACTTGGCAGTTCTTGCAGAGTTCCCTCCCTCCTCGTGCTCTCAACCAGTTTTGAAGCAGTAGCCACTAGAGTGGTCTGGCTACACTCAAACGGCCAAATAGCCACAAGTGGCTAGCGTGTTGGACACCATGGATCTATCCAATATGTTATATTGAACACATCACCGCACTGCCAAGGGCTGTAAATGTCCAGGAAGACTGAAATATCTTTTTCACCCCAGTTTGTAAGACATTTAATACCCTCGTAATGCATCCAGTATGAAAACTTAGATGTATAGATGTGGTCTCTTTGTAAAAGCTTAGATATGCTTTTGGAATGGAACAGTGAAGCTGCTGCTTTTGCTATATCTATGTTTTAGAGAAATATAGGACTTTGTGTTTTCATTCAGGAAGTCTGGTATTTTTCCATGATCAGTAAACTCACTTAACATTAAAGATAAGAACATTCTTGTGGTTATGAGTGTCTCTTGTGTATTCTCAGGGTGAAAGAATCATGCAGCAAAGCTGAGCAGTTCTGACACCCTGAGGACAGAACTGTTCAGTTTTACTTGATGATTCTCCTGCCCTTAAGAGTGCACATGGCACTTGTATAGCTGTAAGAATGTTCCTATCTGTGCATATAAACAATACATGAGCTGTTTTATATTGGCAATTAGGTACTCTAGAGAGTTGTGAAGCTGTGAGAGATTACCATACTTGGGGTGGTTGAAGACCAAGTAGTTTCAGCCCTAGAGCTTTGTTGCCTACAAGTGCTAGCAAAAGGCAATGCTAATGTGCTTAATGATTTCATTCCTAATCAGCAGTCTGGTCAGAACAATTGACCTTCATTAATCTTGGTATTTCTCATTTAATTTTTTTCTTTTCCCTCTAATGAACAAGTCAGGTTATTTGACTTTGAAAGGATGCAAGCCGTTACCTCTTAACACTTAGTTAATTTTAGATTGACTCATTTAAATGAACAGTATTATGAATATTTTTCTTCTACTTTTCTACTTTTTAAAATCAGTGTGCCATGCTGAATTGAATGCCATTATGAACAAAAACTCAGCTGATGTGAAAGGCTGCAGCATGTATGTTGCCTTGTTTCCATGTAATGAATGTGCGAAACTCATCATCCAGGCAGGTAAGGAGCAATGATGCCAGCTTGATTTTTGTCAGAGTTGCAGCACTGCTTGCTCATCAGTATCTTATCACAGATGTATTTGATTTTAAATGGCTGTTGTTTAGATCTAAATTAATTGCACTATCAACTTCATAAGATACTTGTGTTTTTGCATTTGAGTGGTGCCAAGTTTTTCCAGTGCTAATTGCATCCTCTGTGATTCTTAGCGTGTTTTTAATTTAGGTTTACAACTTCTTAGACCAGGAGCTGCCAAAGAACAGCACAGGCATTGCATATCATTACTGTCAGTTTACTGTGCTCTGACACATAGAATAGAGTATAGGGAAAAGAAATAAACTTCTGTCTGACACAAAGTCTGTTGGGAGTATATACATGAAATTTTAATTTGAATGTAATACATGGTAGATATTTTAAGATTTTAAAAGATATTTGCCCATAAATGTCATAAGACTTCTATGATTCTACTTTAATTATCTTTCATTACTCTTGATTTAAAATCTATACCACTGCAGCAAGTGTGCTGGCCTGTTTTGCCTTTTTCAGATGATTAGGTGTAATTGCAATAGAATTTGGTTCCATAAGACTCCCTGCTTAAGTTCCTACAACTGTGTGTGTGCGTGCACATAAATAAATAAAGGGGTTACGTCTTGAGACAGTTACATAGTGGGGGGATTTCAGGATTGATCAGACCTCATTTAGTGAAATCTCATCAAAGTCTTGGGGAGATGGAAAATTTGGATGAAGATGCCCAAGACTGAACCATTCACCCTGCCTTTGGTCCACCTGCCTATATAGACACAGGAAGGTTAGGGAAGATGTTCGGTATTCTAGAAAATGTATCTCTTTGTGTATTACCTAAGTATGATTTGCTATAAGCTTAAACCAAAGTCCTGCTCTTTTCCTCGTACAGAGGAAAGGCTGGTATCAGACTCTGCTGGTTGGCCATAAGAAACTGAATGAAAGTGTCAGCCAAAAAGTGAATGAGAGGCTCAGATACAGTAAACTTCCGATAATCCGGCACCTTTAGGACCCAGGGGGTGCCGGATTATCAGATATGCCGGACTATCAGAAGGGGGGGCTATGAGGGGTCTGGAGTGGGGTGGGAGGGGATGCAAAGGCTGGTATCAGACTCTGCTGGTTGGCCATAAGAAACTGAATGAAAGTGTCAGCCAAAAAGTGAATGAGAGGCTCAGATACAGTAAACTTCCGATAATCCGGCACCTTTAGGACCCAGGGGGTGCCGGATTATCAGATATGCCGGACTATCAGAAGGGGGGGCTATGAGGGGTCTGGAGTGGGGTGGGAGGGGATGCTACCCCAGACCGCCTCATA